TGGCATCATTTGACGGGTCAAAATGGTCAAGTTTTTGGTCAAATTCATTCTCAATAATATTAAAAGAATGGTTTTGAGAAATAATCTTATTTTCATATTGTTCATTTTGATTGATCAAATGACCCAACATGCCGTACTTGTCAGTTGGGCGTCCACGTAACATTCGAAGAGAATTAAAAATCTTTTCATTATCTGAAGATAAGGGATTAGCTAAAAGATTAGAAAACAAACCAACATAAATACAAATGGTCATAAAACAACATGATTTTTTGACAATCATGATTAAATTTAAAAAATAAAAAGTGTTTTAAAATAGTTTGTAGTTGAACGATATTTTCCAAACACAAAATTTTTGTATTTATATTAATTTTTGAAAAAAAATTTAAAACACTTTTAAATTAATGACAACCATGACAATTGGTATTATTGAATTTTTGTATGTTATAATTTCTTGTTTAGAACTTGGATTTTTTTATACAAATGCTATTAATGATAAAATCAGTATGGATTAATCAAAAAGTACATTTTGTAAATCTTTTATCATGTTTTTAAATTTTATTTGTCAAATATTTTTCTTGTTTAAAATTAATGACAAAACAACACAATTTTAACATTCACCGGGCAACATTGTCGTAAACCAATTTACTATTTAGCATAAAAAAGTTACAATAACAAAAATGGCAAAATTGAACAACAATAAATATTTTTTATTTGAAAGTTTAAACAAAAAAAATAGGGTTCTGGTGCGCTGTTTAAAAATTGAGTTTGTTTAATTTAAAAATAATTGGACGTTACTCAATAAAATGTGAGTAAACGGTGACTAGATGTTTTTGATGTTTTTACTCATTTTATCTAATTTTAAACATTCTTTTGCTTTGTTATCAGCGTTTTTTGGTAAATAGCAGTTTGTTGTAGTAATAAATTTTTTGGAAACAGTGTTGGATCTAATTAAAAAAAGAAGCTTAAAGAATCTGTGCATAAAATGAAAAATAAAACATTAGTACAGTTTAAATCATTTCACAAAGTTTAATAATTTAACAAAAAAATGATGCAAAATTAAAAGTAAAAGATGAATAAAATTGTACTTGTTTCAAAAATTAAAAAAGTTTTTTATTCTTTTTAAATATTTTACCAAAACGCGGTAAAAACAAAAACACAAAGCATTGCCAAAATTTTAAAGTTACAAATATTAATAACTGTTTAAAAACTGCCCAATTGCGTTTGTAATTTGCACGCGAGCTTTCTTAAGGGCCGGTGGATCATCACTTGTACTCGCCTTCATGTCAGCACAATGTGATGTTCCAGGAATAACTATCGGAATAATAGTTGGCTTATTAGACTGCGGTTTCAGCACTCCCAGCTCATGCCAAGGGTCGACCAGTCCGTTAGGAAAAACAACATTGCTCATAGTGGTAGAGGAGACATTGGCGCCACCGTTATTTTTGTTAACTCTGTTCACTGCTTCTTCAATTTTTCGCCTATTAAACTGAGGTCCAAAAATGTCTATGCATTGTTGAACATGAAAATCGAGTGTAAGGTAGTCGGCAAATGCTTCTTTTGGATAGTCACTGGTTTGGAAATAACCAAATTCTGTGCACGTTTGGTACGCCCAAAGACGAACTGAAAACAAGCAAATTGTAATGTTTAAAAACTTAATAATTTTTACTGACAATACTGTTCACTTACTCCAAGACCATTTAGTGAATTTAATCGAATCAATATATAAGTGGTACTGGTAAGAAAGATATTGACCGTTTCCGACAATTTTACCAAGTCGTTCAAGCGCTGTAGTATTGTTACCATTGTCAAACATTCGACGACACAGTGCAATTACTCTTCTATTATGGTTATCATTACCCTGTGTTGCATACGCAAAAGGACTTGAAAAAATATGCACTAAAGATGAAATGTCTAGCTTGCTGGCACTTTCTAGGGAAGGCCTAAGTTTCAGTTTTCTAGTGATTTCCCGTCGACCTGAAGAACTGCCCAGCAGACTGGTGAACTCTGTCATGGCAGAACGAATCTCTTCCAGGCACCTTTCGCCCAGGTCATTGTCGACTACTTTGAGGTACGCATCAAAGTCCAATTTAGCTTGAACAGGCGCACTGGAAGCAATGGCGCCTACCACAAGTCGGGGATACTTAAGGCGGAACCAGGCGGCCAGGTTACCAGAGTATGATCCTATATGAAAAACAAACGCATTTAGTAAATGTTTTTAAAAGTTGTTAAAAAAATAAATGAAAAGATATTCAGAACAAAATACCTCCAAAAACAATCCATTTGTGTTTTTCGTTAAGGTTGAACTTTTGTTTAAAAAATTTTACAAATGCTGCTGCGTCGGCAAGCGCTTGCTCACTGCTAAGGTATTTCAATTCGGCTACTGACGTGTCACTAAAAAATAAAATTTAAAAATAAGTCAGTTTGATAAAAAAAACAATAGAAATTAACAAAAAAAAGTAAACCTAGTTGGGTGTTTTTGTCCGTAGTAGCGATGTTCAAGCAAAACCATTGCCGCTTTGTAGTGTTTTGCGTTTTCTACTATTTGTCCTTTAATTAAAAACTTTTCGGACACTTCCCCTTCTCCACCCAACATAAGAAAAATTGGCGATTTAGAAAAGGGAGAATTATCAAAAACATCCATTCGGGCAAAGTATTTTTGTTTCCAAGT